TTTTGCTCAATGAAAACATTCTTTGTTTTAAGCATCTAAACTTGGGATAAATCTTACAAACAAAGCAATAAATTTTATTATATTCAAAAAAGCACAAAGAATTAATATATTGTTCATTGATAATAATTAAAAAAAAAATAGCAATGGAAGTTATATGAATAACATAGTTATTTAAAAATTATTTAAAAAAAAAAAGTTTCTTTTAAAGAAGATATTAAGATGAGCAAGATTAAAGGTAAATATAAAATTAACAACACAAGATGTTTTCAAGAGATCATATTGTCATATATTCAACTAAGAGATAATATAGTTACATATATTAGACTAATATAGTTATATATTAGACTAATATAGTTATATATTAGACTAATATAGTTATATATTAGACTAATATAGTTATATATTAGATTAAAATTATTTGAAAGAACAAAATCAATATTAAAACAAAAAAAAGTTTTTTTAAATATAAATATATATTTCTATAGTGTAGTTAATCTTTCTAACAGGCTTCTATTTTTTTTGTCGAAAATGGAGATCATAAAGCCGCAAACTCTAAGTAGGCTATGTTTAAGTAAAATAAGATTTATTATTGTTTGAGTTATAATGAAAATTTATTAACTCTTATCCATGTGTTAAGTTTTGATGTTTTATGTGTGTTACCAAAGCAATTTAACACATGATTCAACGCAAAATCTTTTTTGACATTTATACTCTTGATGATAATGACATAGAAAAAAAGATTATTTTTAACCAGGCAGGAAGACTTTCTGTTTTTGATAATTAAAAATGGTTACTATATGCTTAATGAATAGAAGTAACAAAAATTAGAAAAAATGTACAAAAAGAAAAACGTTTAGAGCAAATCAATCAATCGAGGTGATAAATTGCAGAACGATCTATGACAATATTTGCCAATCAAACTAAACAATTATTCTGGTTGGTTTTAAACAATCTCTAAAAGTTAAGACTTAGATAAGTTACATAAAGAATTACTGAGTTTATCATGTTGTAATAAAAGAATGATGATTTTGAGTTAGTTTCTTTGTGTAAAAGTAAAGTCGACATCAATTGTTAAAAAAAAAATACAATATTTCTTTAACAGATCAGGCAGCTATAATTGCAAATAATATATTTGCAAACATATAATTGCAAATCCAGGCACAGGAGATTTGAGTAACTTTTCATTTTAAAAACAACTTAAAGAAGACACAAAAAAACATAAGGAAAAACGTTAAAGGTAAAAATCTTTTATCTCAAAAGCTAAAAAATTTATCTTGACTTTTCACCCAAACAAAAAAAAGTTACAGTTTTCAAGAAAAAAATTAAAAAAAAATTTTAGCAATTTTTAGTTCACCAGATTTCGATGATCCATCGTTTATACATAGTATTTAACTAAAGATAGTCATAGTATTTAACTAAATACTATGGCTATCTTTATAGGTAGGGTTTCCAGTTTTATCGTATTTATCAAGTTTGGCGCTTGATAAATACGTCTGGTATTTATCAAGCGCCTAACCTGTAGAAATAATTTTTTTTACTGTGTTGTCCTTAGTAAAATCCGGACATCTGGCAACCCTATTTATAGGAGTAATTGAAATTTCAAATGAATGTTTAATAACTGTGGTAACTGCAATAAAAAAGCTTTTAAATGAAAGGAGTTCTTTCAAAGAAGTTGGCAGTGTATTGTATGATACAACTTCAAGTGAAACTGGATGGATAAATAAAGCAGCATAAATTATTGGGAGAAAGTGAAGCTACTAATTTAGCTAGTATGTAGACACTACGTTACAGAATTTCAAACTAGAGAGAAAGGAAACTTGCCAAAATACTAAATAACCTCCAAGCAATCTATTTAAAATTTTATAAAATAACTAGAACAATATGTTAAAGAAATAAACTATAGTTGAATATAATGCAAAACTAATTTAGGAACATTTATAAAAGTAGGAAGAAAACCTTTTGAAATTAAAACATCTTAGTAGCAAAGCAAATTTAATAAATCAATAGAACGTATTTAAATCAGCGCAAATCAAATAATTACACCATAACATTTGATAATTGCTTTTTTATATTCTGTATTTATAATTCGAATGTAGTGTATTTTTTAATGGAATCAGAAATAAATTGAATTTATTGTTCAAAATATAGTTTTAAAGTAGAAAGATTTTCAATAAAAACAATTTTTAAAAAAATATATTTTTCTTAATATTACTATAAATAAAACTAACTTATTAATAGAATTAATACAGGTGGATATGACAGTATCGGAATGCGCAATAACTTATTATATATATGTATATATATAATATGTATGTATGTATGTATATATATATATATATATATATATATATATATATATATATATATATATATATATATATATATATATATATATATATATATATATATATATATATATATATATATATATATATATATATATATATATATATATATATCATTGTGAATTCCGATGAAAAAAATTGAACAAACTAAGACTTGCGGAGGTTGTGAAAAAATTTAATAAAAAAAAAAAGTTTTTTTTCACAAATCATCAGAAACTGAATAACAATCTCTTCGCTGTTACTAACTATTTCTTAGAAGGCTCTGATGAATGTTCTGATGAATGTTACCTTTGAAAACCGTATTGATTATTACTTAATATTATATAATCTGTTACATGGTTATACAGTCTGTTATGTATATATATATGTATATACATGTATATATATACAAACATATATATGTATATATATATATATATATATATATATATATATATATATATATATATATATATATATATATATATATATATATATATATATATATATATATAAGAAAATTAAAAAGTTTCAAAATTCTTATATCCCACAACAGTTGGCTTGAAGATGGGCAAAACCTCTTAGTGTTTCATTGTTTATTTTTCACTACGATGTAAAAGTTTGTAACACCACTCTGAGACATTTTATAAAACAATTAATTAAAATGAATAAACAATGTTGATGCTTGCCAGAAGAGTCCATTTAATACGTTACCCTCATGTTTGAACATTTAGCACTGCACGCGCAGGCGGTTTAATTAGATTTGGAATGAGACAAAAAGTAGAAATTAAAGAAAAAAAACTGAAAACAAATTGAAATTTTTTTATGAAAAGTTACTCATTAAAATAGTTGTTTTAGCTGGAGGAGTAAAAGTTCCAAAATGTATAACAATGACCCACCAGGTTGACTTGTAAATGATTTTGCTAGAGTTTTCATCCAGTTTTATAACCAATTTTAAGATGCCTTTTCTCCGTTTAAAAGTAATAAGTAAAAAAAAAACTTAAATCAACATTTAGCAATGTGCAATCTGTTTGCTTGATTCACAAATAACATTAAAGAAAAACTTATTCCAAAATAAAAACCTACAAAAAAAGTGAAAGCAAAAATTACAATTATTATAAAAAGAACGAAAAAGCTTAGAGCAAAGACTTTTTCGTTTATTATAAAATACTTCTACTTTACAAGCTGATTATTTTTCATTGCAGTTAATGTGTATCTGACGTTTGTGAGCACCTGTTTACATCTTCATCGCATCTTTTTGCTATATCTTCTTATCATTTATTGAAATAAAATAGTTTTTGTACTTATTTTGCTTTGCTTTGCATTTAAGTTTCTTTTCATTTAAGATTCTTCTTTTACTTATTTTGCTTTGTGTTCTTGCATTTAAGAAAGTATAAAAATAAAAGTACAAAAATATTTAATCTAAAAATCAGTACGTATTGAAACTGATATCTGCAAGAAAATTACAATACTTCGACACAGGTTATTTGAAAGAAAATTACTATATTCTGGTCACTGAAAGAAAATTATCTTCATCTTAAAGTGAACAGCATTTTAAAAGTTAAATCTAGAATATTAAAATGTAGTTTTAAGGTGCTAATTTTTCTTCAAATATTTTCCGAAACCTATGTTAGTATTGATGGTAAAAATTAACGAGTAAATTCAAAACATTTTTGTATATTTGGAAATCTGTTAGCAATTTGTTACTCTTTAAATGTTATATTTGCAAGATTTGTTCAAAAATTTCATCTAAACTTAATAATGACTGTAATAATGACCATTATAATAATAACTATTAGTGTTTTAGTAATTACCCTCTATATATATATATATATATATATATATATATATATATATATATATATATATATATATATATATATATATATATATATATATATATATATATATATATATATATATATATATATATATATATATATATATATATATATATATATATATATATATATATATATATATATATATATATATATATATATATATATATATATATATGTATATATATATATGCATATATATATATATATGTATATATATATATATGTATACATATATATATATATATATATATATATATACATGTATATATATATATATACATATATATAATATATATATATATATATATACATATATATATATATATATATATATATATATATATATATATATATATATATATATATATATATATATATATATATATATGTATATATATATATATATATATATATATATATATATATATATATATATATATATATATATATATATATATATATTTTATAATTATTTTTAATTTTGTAATAACTATTACTATTTTACTGCTAATATTATTTTTATTATTATTATTATTATTATTTTTGTTATTATTGTTATCATTTTTATTATTATTAAATGTTTTTTTCCATTTCCTAACATAAGGTTTCGAACAAATATTTACAAAATTTTTAACAAAAAATAATTATTTATTTAAATAAGATTGTGTCGGTGTCCATTTCTCTAATACACAATTTTACGGTTTTTTATACTAGTGCAATTACTTCATAGTTTAACACTTGAAACTCGTACGCATGTGCTAACATGCATCTAACAAACTTATAAAAAAATCTGGCAGTTTTTTTAACTTTATTTTTAAATTACTATAAACAGAAAATAAAAAAAACTATGGAGAGACAAAACATGAACTGTATTAACATTAAATCGTTGCTTGCAACTACAAATAGTATTAAAAAAAGAAGAAAAATGCAAAAGATGATGTTTGTTGAAAAGAATGTGTTCTTAGATAAGTTTAGCACCAGAGATCGAAGTCACTCAGGTACTTTTTGCATATTTATGATCCATATATAATTTTAATTAAATTTAAAACAAAATACATTTTCTCTAGCAAAAATTTTTAATGACAATACCCCTTAGCCCCCCTCCCCTCGGAGAATATTGTCATTAAAAATCTTTAGAAGAGAAAGACACACACACAAAAAAAAGAATAATAAAAAAATGTTTACAAAGTTAAAAAGATGTGAAATATATAAAATGTAAAAGAACATTTCTTAAAACAATTTAGTTGAGTAGAAATTTTGTTTCGTTTACAATCTGTAATCTCCAATCAGTTGGATAAAGCTCTTGCATTATGACTCTTTTTTATTTCTTTTGTTTGTTTTTTTTATTCCTTTTTTTAATAAACTATTGTTAATAATAAATAAGAACTTTAGAAACAAAAATCATAAAAGAAAGTCGATCAATTTCATATATTTTTAATTTATTTAAAATCAGGTTGTCGCAAGATGTGCGATAAGGTCTATTTTATCGCCACATTTATATAACATTTACACGGATAACTCCTTAAATGGAATAGTTTCAAAGTTTTAAGTTTAGTTAACAATTGATACCATTTATACTGGCATCATCTCAGATAATATAGTTTTAGGAAGCCTTACAATCTTTATCCTCAGGTATTGATCGACGGATTTCAAACATATAGAGTAGCAAAATAAAACAGAGAGACAACGAATATTTCTCTGAAAAAAAAATAAAAAAATTCCAAAGAATTAAAGTTAAAAAAAATAAAAAAACTCCTATCAATTTCCAAAATAAGTTAAAACTAGGGCCTAACGAACCAATTTACTTCGATTTGCAAATCATATATCGTTTGACTAGCGAATCAAGTGTCGCTTCGATTCACGAATCAAGTGTCATTTCGATTCGAGATTTGATTCAAAAAAATATGATTGGAGTTTTTCGAATCATTATTTATTTTTTGAGTGTTGTTGTTTTTTCAGATATCCAATGCTAAGATGCAATTAAAACGTTTTTATTTATCTCAGCGAGAGCAAAGTGATTGTAATCGAAACTAATTGTAATACTGGTTCCAAATAACAGCTAAAAAATTAATTTGAGCAAAAAAAAAATGTTTTAATAAAAAAAAAATTTTTTTGAAAAAAATTGCTTAAGTTTGGATTTCCTCATATTACTGATTTGATTCGATTCGTAAATCAAAACCCGCTTTGATTGCAGATTCGAATCAAAACTAAAAATTCCGATTCGCAGGCGCCTAGTTAAAACATCTTATTTTTAATAAGAAAGTTACATAAACAAGAACAAAATAGTAACATTTCAAATAACGAATATAAAAAAACGCATGATTCAATTTTAATCTATTTCATAAGACAATGGGTTTTGTTTTTGTAAACCATCAGCCTTAGTTAATTTTACAGTTCTACGGTTCTTCCAAAACTTATATATGACATCGAAATGAGTAAGTGTGAAAACAGTTTCCTACGCAATGTAGAAGCTATTGAAAGTTTTAAAACTATTTTAATTATCTTGATAGTAAAAATTATCTGCATTCTAGGTTTATACTTAGAAGACAATTTGAAAGATACGGAATAAGAATAAATACCCGAAAATGAATTGAATTTTTTGCAAATTGAACTTGTTATTCATTAATATTAACTCAACTGCAGGCAAGAAATTGGCAAAGTTATTAATACTGTAGCATAAATCCCAGAAGACATGAAATGGACTAAATATAGTGTTTTCTAAAATTGACTTCATTTTACACTGCATATAATATAATAATATATTCTCTCTATAGATATTGTTCTAAAATAGAACTGTTTTGAACTCTGTTAGGTCACATCCTTATACAAAAAAATTAAAACCAGTTTATGGTTTTTAGCAGTGTATTTACAAAACGAATAAATAAAAGCAAACATAAATAGCTATCATAATAAACAAAAAAATTTAAAGAAGTTTATGGTTTTTAGCAGTGTATTTACAAAATGAATAAATAAAAGCAAACATAAATAGCTATCATAATAAACATATTAAACAATAATTATCGTGCTAGTCTAAATTCGGATACTAATGAATCGACGCTATTAAGAAGAAACAAATAGACGCAAGAAAACGAAATTAAATTATTTTAACTAATTAATACAAAGATGCGCATTTATTCATTTCATAGTTAAAGATTTCGAATATTTTTAGCGCTTTATTTCGAATTGCTCATTTTAAAATATAACTGATTTAATATTATTTTTTTAGTACCTGGTATTCTCGTGAGTGCTCTACAGTCTTTTTATATCCGAATATATCGTCAGGGCCGTCCCGAAGAGATTTTAAAGAAAGAGGGGGGGGGGGGGAGGGTGATGTGTCTGTTTTTTGCCGACTATCTCAATGCAATTAAGGCCTGGTACACGTTTTTCCGAACAAAAATATAAGTTCTTTCAATTACAATATATGTAAGTTTTTTCATGACATATTTGGTATGTGTGAAAAGATTATTTTAACCACTATTATAATCTGGTAAAAGTAATGCGACTATAACAAATCGTCAAGCGTTGTTTTATTTTGAAAAGATGCAGTTTTTAAAATAAAGTACCTTGGGGCTTGGCTATAGATAAGTCTATAAATTTGATTTTTTCATAAAAGCACATATTGGTGCTTGTTTTCTATAAATGTAACTTGACATTTCTAATCAGACGTTATTTGGGAAAATTATCCATGAAAAACCATTTTTTTATGAAAATTGAAGTTACTATTTTTAATACTACACCTAAATGTTTACCAATAATGTCACGTTTGATTTAGATAACCTATGCTAGTGTTAATTTTTCTACCAAAGTTGTTTTTGCATAAATGATCATAACGTTTAGCCCCACTTAAAAAACGGACTTATTCGGCCATCTTGAAATAATAAATTATTGCGTTAACGGACTTATTCGGCCATCTTGAAATAATAAATTATTGCGTTAATAATGAAAAAACAGAGGCGGTAAATTTTTTAAATAAATTATTTTTAGTTCGAATTCTTTGTTTGCATAAATTAAATACCAATAACTTTTTTTTTTTTTTTTTTTTTGTATGTATTTAGGTGCTCGCTATTTAGAAGTCCTTGCGGGCTTATCATAAAGCACCGCGGGAGAGCATTTAACGGGAGGTTCACGCCTCCTTCCGTACCAATGTTGCTTGTTGGCCTAGGTCTTGAGGCGTCGAACCTCGGACATCTGGGTTCTGAGCCAGAACTCTAACCACTGCGCCACGGCTACTCAAATAACTATATTAAACTATCGGCTTTTTTTTTTTAGAGTTGATTTGTTCTATGCATTGAAACCAAAAAAATCTTTTTTGATCGTTAAAAAAAAAAATAAGGTCCTCGTTTTCCGATATTTGCCGACTGCCAGCTATAGATCCAATTTTACCGACTCCAGTTCCAATTTGCCGACCGAAAAAATTTGTAGGGGGGCTAGACACCTACTAAGCCCCCCCCCCCCCTCTTGGGAGGGCCCTGTATATCGTTGGCTTAGCATAGGAACAGCCACAAATATTCATTAAGACTAATTTAAAGTAGCGACCAATATTTTTGCGTACCGAAGTACTACTCAAGCGCTGAGTTAGCGGTGGAAGGATTTGAACTCGTATCATTCAATTGTCCGGGTTTTAATTTTTCGTTTGACGCTCTAACCAACTGAACTATCCAGTAGGGTGACAATATTTTTGCAAAAAAAAAAAAAAAAAAATTGAATACTGCATCTTTTGTAAACCCCTGAGTGATATCAAAACGATGGCTCCATAATTAACCATAATTTCAAAACTTTCTTTGTTTGTTATAAATATTTTTTTACTTCTTAAAAATGTATCATTTGGAGAAGAAAAAATGCAGATTTAAAGTTTAGTTTTTCATTCAATGAATAGAATAACATTGCATTGCAAAACTTTTTACAGCAGTTTTGAACATTTTTAAACTGTTAACAAAACTACTTATAATAAATTGTGTATATAGAAAAAAAGTCGTAGTAAACATAGTTTCAGGTAAGGTTTAATACAGGTATTATTCAGTTTTAACTTTTAGGATTTAAATTTAATAAATTGTTTTTAAATTAAATAAAAATAAAAAATAAACATTAAACATTATTTATGTTATAGCCAACATGTAGACACAAAGATGCAATCAAGTATTGAAAAAAAGCTGAAACATGTTAGATATCTGAATGTCAGTTGTAGGAGGCTCCTTTACCTTTTTAAATCTCCTATTTCTTTTTTACCTCTGAATCAGCTTCCAACTGATGGGTTACTTCTAAAACATTATCAATATTTAATCAGCAGTAGATCAAAACAATTCAAAAGTATTTACAATAATTTTTCTTGTCCTATGGGATCAAATTTTAACATAAAATGCAAAGGAAAAACAACGTGTTATCAGGGAAATGGAGATTTATGTCTTCTTAGAAAAATAGTGAACATCTGCGAGTCCTGTGGTTTTAAAAACTATATTATTGGAGAGGATTAAATATTTTCAAAAATGCTAGAAAACAGTTTATAAGTGGGCATATAGATAAAGAACTTGAAGAAAAGATTGTATGTAGACAAGAGAGATACCGTACCTATGTAGATTATAAGAAAAAAATGTCAATGGAGGCTGAATATCATAATGACAAGAACGACGATTACTTAGATTTAGAAGATTAAGAACACTCAATTAAAAATGCTAATGGAAATTATTCAAATGAGAAAAAGTCGATATCTGAATACTATTTATAATACTGATGAGGATGAATATCAACAAAAAACATCAAACAACGCAAAAAAAAAAAAAAAAAATTAACGACATACCACTTATGCTTCAATCGATTTCAATCCTTATCAATAAAAAAATTACTCAAGATGGCCTAATTGCAGCTACAACTTCCCTAAGTGTAAGAACCGGGTTAAGCTACTGAGATCAAACAATGTTTATAGCTAGTGTTATGAACTACCTTGAAGTAAATATGAAAAAAATTAAGATAAATAGAGAAACAGTCAGATTGAAGCGTTATAAGATTGTTCAAAATCACAAAAATGAAATTAGACAGAATTATATCGAGGAAATGAGAGGAAAAAATTTTATTCTTCCCTTTGATGGCAAACTAGTTACACATTTGTATAAGGAAATCCAACAAACAGTTACAAGAAATAGAATTGCTGTGTCTGTTACTAGTCCTGAATTTCAATACAAGGACGATCTTCTTTTAGCAATTGTTCCATGTGACACAGGTAAAGCATCTGATCAGGCTTAGTAATTCAAAATTTGTTAGAATATTTTAAAGTTTCAGACCAAGTATTTGCTGTTTGTGTTGATATTACAGCAACCAACACTGGTAGGAAAAAAAGTGCAATTATAATATTGACATAAGTATTTCAGAAACTTTTATTGTGGCTATTATATCGATTCCACAAACATGAAATACATATTAAACATATTTAAAAATCAAAAAATGGAGATAACACCAAGGGTTCACGAAAGGCCTTTTACCCTAACTTTAAGAAACGATGGGAAAATTTTGTCCCATTTTTATCTACTTGTGGTGTCTCTTCTAGTTTTAAAAAGTTTGGTAAGAATACTCTCATAATTGGTTCTGGAATTCATCAAATGTACTTGGAGGCTAAAACATATATTAAATTTGTTCAGGAATTTCAGATTTTCCCCCAAGATGATTACAGACATCTTGTGATCTTGTGGAATACTTAACTTTCTATCTTAATATTCAGTCTGACAAGCTAAAGAGCTTTAGGGTTCATCAACTAGATGCATTAAAGCTAGATTTATGGCAGATGCATTATATCACATGACTTTGGAATTGACATCGCCAATTATAAAATAATTAAATTAAAACCAGCAGATTCTAGTCTCCAAAGTTTGTCTAGTGGTTGTTATATTTTATGCTCCACGGTTTTTAAAATCCAGTCTTGCTGAACATTCAGTATTGGATGACTTCAATTCATTTGGAGGAATGGGATACTGATGTAGGAACTTCACTTTTAAATAGTTTAAATAGTTTAATCTCATTCCTGGTATCTTTCACCTAAAGCAGTAGTCATGGCTCTTGCTGATTCTGACCTTAAAATTCAAATAAAGTTTGACATTTTAAAGGCCTTGTTGGAACCTGGGGTTACTGACATAAGTGAAATTAGTATAGAGAAACCACTTTCCTTTTTAGTAGATGAAAATACTAAACTTTGTGAACTTGTAACCTGTGAAAGCTGATTTCTTTTTGTCGTTATGGACTTAGTAAAGGAAAAAAAGATTTGGTTGGAAGCATTGCAGAATATAGAAGGTTTAGAGTCAATACCCTCGTACAAGAAATTTGTCCTTTTTATTAAACAACTCAGTGTCACAAATGATTGTTCTGAAAGAAACTTGGACTTATACAAAAGTTTGTGAACTCTTTACACTCTGAGGATCAGAGACAAAATATTTTGCTAGTTGTTCGATTAAATTGAAAACAGATTTCAAAGAATGTTTATCAGAAAGATTTTGTTAATATGAAATAGATATTGTTATATAATCCTGTAAATGCAAACATGTTTTATTTGTTAAACTCTTTTGTTAATTATTTCAGATCAAAGTCAATATTACTAATAATATAAAACAGTAATTATACTAACTAACATTTGCTTTTTTACATACATTTTTTAGCATGTTGGAAAAAAATGATAAACATTTAAATTATTGAAAAAATATATCTACTTGTTCTGGTCCTAGTAAGCTAAAATTTTCAATATAAGCTAGTATATAGATGGAGAACAGGTATTTACACAGTGTATTTGCACTTTTTGAAAAAAGTTTAAAAAGTGCAAAAAAATTGTCACCCTACTTTCCAGCCAACAATTTTGTTTGCTTCTTCTATCAAATTCTATACTTAACTTAATTTTGGTAAAATTGTCACTTGTACCCATTGGGTTCTGACCCACTCATATATGGTTACCATATCTAAACCATAATCTATTGATTGAATATTTACCAATCATATCAATAATAACAATAATTGAATAATAAAAGCGAAATTTAATAATTATTTAAAAAATCAAATAATAGTAACAATAAAATTATTATTTTTCTATCAAATTTTAATTTTTCTATCAAAAAGTAATTGTACTTTTTCACAACTTTACAACTTAAAGTATTCATGATTTTCAGTGTACAAAATGTTTTTTTAAATAAAGATTTTCAGTGTACAAAATGTTTTTTTAAAAAAAGCAGTTCATTTTCTTAACAGTTTTTATGGTCCAAATATGCCTTTTAAACGTAGTTGGACCTGCTTAAGCACTGGCGAAGTTCCTTTAACTCCGTTGATCAAAGTTAAACAAAGTTTAATAGCAAATATTTGTTAAACTTTGGTTACGTACTCACAATTGAATAGGTGAATGTTAAAAGAGCGGAAGTCCAATAATGTAAACTTTCGGGAAATAAAAAAAACCTGCATTTTCCCTCGTAGTAAATTTTTGATAATGGTTCAATAATTTCTTTTATTTAAAATAAGTTTAATTCTTCAGTGACGGATTCAGGGGAGGATGGGGGTAGATGAAGGGTTTGCATCCCCCTCCTCCACCAGAATTAAATTTTTTTTTTAAGTTAGTTAATTAGAGGCACTTTTGTAAATTTTAGAACCTTTTTTTTTTTAGTTTTCCTTCTGAACCTATACCGGCTCAGAATACATACATATGGGGTTAAAACAGTGGCGTCACTGAAGTAGCAATCTGTCACGATTGATTCTTCAATCTGTTGATGGTAAAAAGGATATATTGTCATAGTAAATATAAAACTATCGATGGTATATTCATTTTACCATCAATCTTCAACTAAATGTAATACATTAATGTATACATTAATGTATTTAATACATGTATTAAAGATTCCGTTAACTTGCGGAATCCAAACAATTATAGGGCCTTAAACTTGCGGAAATCCAAACAACTTAATTATTTAGCAGATTACAAATTAGAATACATAAATTCGCATTTGGCATATTTTAAATATTCTTATAATTATAAGATATTCTTATAGATAAGATATAAAAACTCTTACAATATAAAAATACAGCTGATTTTATAATTCGCTCTGCAGTTTGTAGCTTGTAAATGATCTGCTCAACCAATCTGCTCTGCTGATCGTAACTACCCAATAAAAATCAAAACAGACGCAAGATTTTTTATTTTAAGCTTTTTTAAGTTCAAATCTTAGTAATAGTAAAAATTTATTTAAAAGTTTGTAAATCAAAATGTTGAGCTTCATAAAAATAAAAGCACCCAAGTTGTTGAAGTAAGTATCAAAGTAATGAAAAACTTATATTATTATCAAAATGGAAATTTTATTTTAGTACTCTTTAGAATTTTTGAAAGATATCAACATCTTTGATACCTTATAAAAAATTTAAAAAAATCTCAAAAGTTTTGAGAAAACTGATTAGGATTACATTTTTCATTACTTAACCTTATAAAACATCATCCTTAAACCTTTAAACACTGAAGAGTTGAAAAAAGTTTGTCAGGGTTTTTTAAGTTATATACAAATAGCCTATTTGTATTATTAATAGCCTATATTATTGTTGTATTATTAATAGCCTATATTATTAATATATTTAATAGGGTTTATAAGTTATATACAAATAGCCTATTTGTATTATTAATAGCCTATATTATATTGTATTATTAATAGCATAAATTATTAATATATTTAACAGGGTGACGATTATATATTGATAATATATTTGAAAATTTAACAAAGAAGTGATATTTGTTTTTCTATTAAACAGTTCTTTTATACAGTTACATTTTAGCAGTTACATTACAAGCTATGAAAAAGTTTTGAAGTCAAAAAGTTTAACTAAAGAAATGTGAATAATGACATTTAATGTAAATATATAATACACCAACTCAGATAATGAAACTAACATTTTAAAATATAAGTTTTAAAGCAGCCAATTAACTTTTTAAAGCTAAATTACTGCATTACGTATAACAGACTTTAAAAATATCTAACAGATAAAAATATGTTCTGCAATTTGGTTTTAAAAAAGACCAATATTTACAATTTTTACTTCTAATTTTAAAAAAAGACACATCTCTATTATTATATTATTATCCAAATGGTATCCACAGAATAATAATAATAAAAAATATCTTTATTGATTATACCAAAAATTACACATTAAAACTATTCATAAAATTTGGAAATGCAGAATACATTTCATTTTAACTATTTTTCATTATTTAGAACAGACAGATTTTTTTGTTCTTCAAGAGTATTTTATCTAAAATAATTTTATATGATAACATAGTAAATATAAAATTTATCAAAAATTGTTGCTTCATTTAATATTAATTACAATCAGTTGCTATTGGAGGGTAAACATTTTTTAACAACTAAAAGATACAATAAACAATATTTTGTTTAGGTTAACAGTTATACATCAACTTATATGTGTTTTATATATATTAATTATTAATATATTAAGTTTATTATGCTACAATATTTTAAATCTTTTATTACATTACATAACAATACCACGGACAATCCAAATCAGCTCTTGCTTACAGTTATTTTTAATTTGAGTGTTACAAATTACCTGGGCTAACTATATTAACCAATCAGCAATGTTTTCAAATTCAAAAAGTGTATACTTATAATTTATATGTGGGAGTAATTAATAATAATTGGGGTAAACTTTTGCATGTTTTTATTATTTTTTTATTTATTTTGTATATGTTTTTGTAACATTTTATATATGGGAGTGGTTAATAATAATAATGGGTAAGATTTTGAAAAGCAAATAAGTAATGTTTTATCAATTTTTTATTTGTTTTTCTAATAGGATTAATTGAAACTTAATGTAACAAAATCATACCAGGGTAATTCCACATCAAATCACCCAGTCCATTGAACCATGTGTCTTTTTTTTTGTTTTATATTTTAACACATTGTTCCTAATTATAAAAAGCATGCAAAATTTTAGCCAAATATGTTGAGCGGTTGACAAGATACTGCAATTTTAATATTGACCTGGTTTCCCAAAATGACCCGGTTTTCATAACATTCTGAAAAAACATTTTTCTTAAAAAAATAAGAAATAAAAATGGTAAAAGTATGAAAATAAACATATATAATTTTTTTTTGATGCTGAATTCAATAAATGTACTTTAAATGCTGAAATATAAAAGGAACATGCTTAAAAGTTAATAAAACAACTAGTTTCTATAAACCAACTTTTGGGGCCCAATATCTCAAAACACCCCTGTCAAATTTTTTTTTTTTTGTTAATATTTTCAGCTGCTTGTAATCTTACTAGGCACAAAATATCTAACTAGAAAAACAACTGAAACATATAAAACTTTAATATCAAAGATGTATTACTTTACTAGCTCAATGTTACAGCTTAATGATATAGTTATTTTTTTTTTATTGCTTAAAGTTTCAATAACACCTTGTTGGCGATTGTATTCATCTGATGTCAATAAGCGCCAATAGAACACATTTTATAATAAGTTACTTTGTATGAATGTATTTCCTTAAAAAAAAAAAAATTCTTCTTTTCTACATAATTTTGAGCAAAAAAAAAATTAATATAGAAATAATTCAAACCTTTTTAGAATTTTTCTGTTGTATAATTTTTTACATTGTCGTATAATTTTTTAGAATGCTATGAAAACCGGGTCGTTTTGGGAAACCAATGTTGAAATTGCAGTATCTTGTCAACCGCTTAACATTTTTAGCTGAAATTTTATGTGTTAACTTTTTTTTTAAAGATGCAACAGCCAAAAAAGTTTTTAAAAAATTTCAAATTTTTTAAAAAATTATTTGGCTGGTCAAAATTTCTTAAATTTTGGGTGATTTAATGTTAGAATTGCCCACCAGGTTAAAAAATTCTATTGATGTTACAAGGTAAAATATAAAAATGTATTAAAAAATTTATCCTTTGAAAATCACAGCATAATTAATTTTTATTATCTGCTTAATAGTTAATAGGTTATATCTTTTTTATGTCTTAGAATTATCAAAACTGTAAGAAAAATGAACTGCTTTTTTAAAATCTTTATTAAAAAAAATATTTTGTACACTGAAAATCATGGATACTTTAAGTTGTAAAGTTTTGAAAAAGTATAATTACTTTAATGCATGAAATTTGATAGAAAAATAATAATTTTATTGTTAGTATTATTTGCTTTTTTAAATAATTATTAAATTTCACTTTTATTATTCAATACGCTTTTTGACACTTATTTTGATTTTTAACAAACACCCATGTAACTAAAAAACAAACACCCATACAGTTAAAAAAAAACATTTTTTTTTTTTAGTTTAAATTAAAAACTAAAATATATAATTTATACTAAGATATAAAACTTTATAAAGTAGTGTTTTGATAATCTAGACAGATACAATATTCTGATTTAATGCCCATGTTATTAATTATTACTTTTCCCGGTTTATTCTTGGAGATATATAAAAGAACAAGTAGACTTTACCTTTTTGTAGTTTACTTAAATAATTTATTGTAACTGTTAACTATTAAAACATTCTTGAATAGTAATACAAATCTTTCAACATTAGGAAGAATTGTAAATTGAACTTTTTGGTAGGGTACCAAATATTTACTTGAACTTTCTTTTTTATCTTAACTATAAATTCTTTAGTAAAATATTTGGTAACAAAATGCTATGTTTAGTTTTGACACTGAACTAAAATGAAAGAAATTTTGTATTTTACAAACAAAACTTGGTTTAGAATAAATTAGTTCTATTTAATATATAAATCAATAAATGCATAAAATGCGTTATAACTTTACCATATTTTTGTTTTTACAGGGTCAAGTTTTACTTCTGTCACACCCTGTGGCAGCATAAAAAGTAATGTTTTAGCTAAAACTGTTTATATCAATAATGCTGCTACATATAGTGGATTGTATTATGATGTTAAGCGGAACTGCTTATCTGAGTTCCTACTTGAGCCATACAGTTCTTTTTGTTATTTTTGGCAAATAGTGCTATTATTGTCAATAAATTATAATATATGGGTTGTTGTTTTTCGAATAGCTTATCCCGATGCTAAAGAATTTCAAGTACTATGGTTTTCTCTTGATTATGTTGCTGACCTCTTTTATTTAGCTGATATATTTATTTCATCACGTATTTCTTATATTCAAAACGGAATATACGTAAGAGACAAGAGAAAAGTAATGCTTGCTTATATTAAATCAAAAAAGTTTCTGATTGACATAATAACACTCTCTCCATTTGATATTCTTTATATCATAGATGAAGTGCGACCTGTTTATCGATTACCTAGGTTACTTAAATTTCTCAATATATTTCAAGCTAAAAAAGTTGTAGAGGCTGTTACAAATTTTCCAAATTTAGTGAGGGGAACATTTTGGTTAAACATGATGTTTTTGGTTTTACATTGGAATTCATGTTTTTATTATATCATTTCAAAAAGTGAAGGGTTTGGTTCAGATCTATGGGTATATCCAAATCACACTGGGGTTCACAAAAGTCTGCTTCATCGTTATATTAAATGCATGTACTGGTCTACATTAGTTCTTACAAATATTGGAGAAAGCTCACCTCCTGAAACAACAATTGGGTAAGTTTTTTATTTACACACTTTAAATAACCAAAATGTGTTTCAAATTATATTAATTCAAAATTTTATCAGAATAACTTGAATTTTTAGGTTTAGTAGTTTTGAATTCATAGGGCCAAAACTTTTTATAAAAATTTTTTAATTCAATAAAGGGATTGAGATGAATATTTTGCGATTAGAAGAAGGATTTCATTGAAATACAAATTTCTAGGCCTGATATCATTTCCTTGAGGAATGTATACTGTTGTATAACAGTAATTGCAAGGCCTTTGTTTTTAGTTGTGTTTTAGGTTTAAAGTGAGATATTGATTGTATGTTTGTTATATAAATATATAATCAACAAACTTACGATATCCATAGTAAAAAGTAAATTGTAAAAAAAGTATTGGAAAGCACTAGGAAGTATTAAAGTGGTCTTAAAACTTTTCAAAAAATTTTCATTCAAAAATAAAAATGACAGATGCCTCTTTCAAAAAAAAAAGGAAAGAAATTAAAAAAAAAACACTTGTTAAATAGTTTTAAAAGACAAAGTTTCTTAAAATATATATTCAGGACTGATCAGGACATTGAATGGACCATAGACTCTAGAAACAATTATAACCATCGAAGCAAAAGCCATTAAAATGTTTGACAAAAAGTTCTTAACTTGTTTAGCAGGGATTTCATGAAGTGAATTATGAATCAAAAAATAAATTTAAGGAATAGTTGTTAGCACCTAATTTAGCTTTGGCTTTTGGAGAATTAACATGATTTAAGCATTGTAAAGAAGATGAAATATGTTTGCGTTTGTTAATAATACTATTGATGATTATCTCTATTAGAGCTTTTTAGAGAAGATTTATAGTTTTTGCAAGAGATAAGACTCAACAGTGAAAAAGTTATTTCAAAGGCCACAAGTATTAGTGAATGATAGATTTAGATAACTTGTTGACGATGATAGTTTTTGTGTTTATAGTTTTTGATACTTGAGTTTTTTTAAAAATTGGTTTAAGAACTTGACTCAAATAACAGATAGTATTCAGTATATTAATTAATAGTCCAAGCAATTGGCTCATTACTATTAGTAAATCCTTGTTATTAACAAGGTCTTTGAGAATTTGATCAACAACAGACTCCTCCTAAGTCCTCTCTTTTTTACACATTCTTGTATTATTATTCGCTACTAACCTCTATTGGAAACCATATATACAATCAACTGCTAAATTAGCATCTGCTAAGGTTGCTTCTTTTTTTTGTCCTTGCCATTTTTTTAGTCCTGATTCCATATTCTACTTCTACATATCTTTTATTTGTTCCTGTATGGAATACAGGGACAAATGTCATATTTGAGTTCTTCTAGACAAGGTCCTAAAATGGATTGTAAATGTAGCTAGATTTGCTCTTTCTGCCATGCTTGAGTCTTTCTCCAATTGTTGTAAAGTTGCATCTCATTTTCTTTTCTTAAAATACTTTTCTAAATATCACGGTTGCTGATCAAAGGAGCTATTATCTCTAGTTCCATCAACTAAAACTCATTCTGGCTTGACTTGCTGTTCAGTCAAGTCTTATTCTTTTACTTTATCTGTTCCTGCATGCTTTAAAGACTTTTATTTATCTAGTTTTTTCCCCATTTTCTAACCATTATGAACTCTCTACCATCTTGATGTTTTCCTGACTCATACAACCTACAACTTTTCAAGTCTTCTGTCAACCATTTCCTTGCTGTTTAACTTTTTTCTAACTCCTTGCTTAATATTGTTTGCTGGCAGCCTTGTTCAGAGTGAATCAGAATAAAAAAAGAGTTTAAAGAGAGTTCTGAAGAACACTTTTGTAAGACTATGACAGGAATGTTGCCTTGATCAAAAACTGTAGAAGAGTTTTATTAAGAAATGATTTTAGTAATGGAAGTAGTAATTATTTGGGTGTCTAACAATGGTTAACATGTTTGGCAGGAATGATAGGAAAAGTATGGCCATCAGATTTAAAAGTTGAATTGGAAGGAAAGTTCTTTCCAAATAGTTTTGCAAAGAACTTTTCTTCCAATTCAACTCTTTTGAGGTAATAATTTGAATTAAAGCTGAAATGTTTGACCTTTGTTAATGACACTGTTGACATGTTAATGACAACATTGTTAATGACAACATATGACTTTTTTCATGATATTGTTGGCAATTTGAAAGACATTAATCATCATTATATTTATGAGTTTATCTATATCACATTTTATTTCAATTTTTGACCATCGTACTCGTAACTGAACTTTCATTTAAAAAAATCATTTTATAAATGTAAAAATATTAATAAAATAAAAATGATTTTTAAGTATATATATACATAAAAACACGCAATATTTAACTTTTTACAAGTTTTAGCCATTTGGGATATTTTGTTAAATTAGTTTTATAAGGTTAATGTTTTTTTCAGATATTCGTATATGATTTTATGCTACATTAGTGGAATGTTCATCTTTGCTGCAATTGTAGGTAACCATATCTTTGTTTTATTTTTGAAACAAATTTTCATTATTCAATTTTGGTTTAATGGCTCTGTTTAAATTGCTCAAAAAGTTACTCCTCTGTATCAAAATTATAAAAAAATTTATTGTTAAAATTGTGTTTTATATTTAAAATGTATGCTATATCTGAGTCATTTATGAGTCATGTCCTAATTTTTATCTGTAGGATTCAAGCCTGTAAAATAGTCAACAATAATAAGCACTGACTCTTCAATTTTCATAAAGTTAATAATTTAAATTTGTTTGTATTTGTAATACAAACAAATAGACAAATAAATTCTTTATCGACGTTGAGCAAATCAACATATTAAAAGTTTTTTCCAAATTTCAAAAATTTTGGCTGCATAATAATAATTTTTTTTTTCAAGTTTTCAAAATGTTTTGTTTTTATTTAAAGCTTAGTAAATGGTTTTTTTTTCAATTAAATTAATTTATTTCAAATTATTTAATGCTTACCACTTAGGTAAAGACTCAAATGTTTTAGCAGTTTGAGAATTTTAAAACAAACATATTTAAAATAATTAAGTAATAAAGTAATAAGAAATATAAAATTGAAATTTGTTCAGAAATTATTTTGGTAAAAGGTTGAGAATAGATTAACAGAGTTCCAAAATTGGTTTTTTTAATATATAGTATTTTAGAAACTTCTTTAACTACAAAAATTTTAAACAATGACATAAATTAAGAATAAGATCTAAACATTTTAATTAATAAAATTAAAAAAAAAAAATCAACATTAACCTTATCACCATAAAGTGATAATGTAAACACTTGTACTAGAATCAAAGACACGTAAAAAGATATCAAATTACTTTGAAGTGTCTGAGTAAGTTAAACATGAGCAAGGAATTCTCTCATTGCTAGGAAATAATTTAGAAACTCATTTCACCTGAAAAAGACAAATTAGTTATTAAATTATATCAGTGATAAGTTTTCAGAAATAATGTTAGGAAATTTGCAAGGAAGGAGGTTTGAACTTCTTAGTTAAATGCTCTTCTGAAGTGCTTTTTGAGAAGGTTTTTTTTTTTTTGGCTGTTAAATTTTCTTGGATCACCTTTATAACCAGATGGTGCATTAGTTGTAATTACAACTAATGCATTAGGTACTTACATTTTGTGTTTTGGTAATGTATCAACACATTACCAAAACACAAAATTTCTCATTGATGCAATTTGTTGGAATAAAAAAAAGTTCAAAGGATTTTTTTGTCTTTAATTCCTCTCTGGAAAATCCTAAGTTATTTAGCTACACTAATATGACCAATGACTTTTTATTGCTTGAAACATTAAAAAGTTGTTTAATGTAAGAGTTTACAGACCGTGAGCTAAAAGATTCAAGCAATGGGAGAATACTGAACTTATGAGTACTACTAGAATGAATACCATTTAATGAATTTAATTTTTTCTTATATGGCAACATTTTCAAGCTTACCAGACTTTCATTTATTGCAAAAACGCAAAGTAGATACACTGCGGAAAATTATCAATATGTTTTCAATGATGAGGTTCAAAGTTGTCAATAGAGAAATAAGTCACTTTTTACAATTATACTTGATTTTATAGAATAAACATTTCTCTATAAAAACATTTAAAATCTTCTTACTATCTTTTAGAAAGTGTTGACAAAACAACAGATTCCATTAAACATGACGCAGGTTTTGTTAAAAAATTTTAATAAGTTATAACTAAATTTATCTAAGAAAATCTACCTGATGTATCATGTGTGAAATACTTTTTTTTTTTTTAAGTACTTTTTTTTTTTGACGCACTTTTCTTTTCTTGTTTTTTCAAATCTGGGTCCCAAATGCCCATGACATTCTAAACCAGTCCTAATAATTAAAGTAAGTCCTAAATTAATTTAATTTAATAAGTCTTAAACCAGTCACTAAATAATACTATTTAAAGCTTTAAAGTGCCTTAAAGTTATTACATATCATTGATTGCAAAATTTATGTCTTAAAAAAATTTTGAAACAGTATTATTTTCAATGACATAGTTTGATCGATTTGATAGTTTGATAGATTTGAAAGCATGAGTCTTGTTTTTTTCAATAGACCTAAAATAAAGTAACGATATAAATTTTTAGATATAAATTTGTAGATAATAATTGAAATAATATGATTAAAAAAAGACTACAATCAATTATTTTAATAAAACAACGATACAAAAATATATTTAAATAGATTTCAAAACAAAAGGAAATGTGCGGTAACGTGGTAGATTTTTTTTTGTCTTTAAAACTTATTTAAACTATATACAAAATAATTTAATTTTAAAGTTATTTTAAAATATCGTATAGATATATTTTATATATACTATATGGTATAAGCATTTTTTTTTCTGTCTGCAAAAAAACGCAAAGCATTTTGACTATCAAAAAGACTTAGAAATGGAAGATAGCCTAAACAGAACTGATCGAATATAAAACTAAAAAAACCTTGGAGATTAAAGAAACAAATTAGAGCAACAAACATTGCATAACCGCAACATAATGAAACAAAACATTGTGTAACCGCAACATAATGTAACAAAAACAAATGCAGCTGAACATAATGAACTGAGAAAGAAAAACAGTGTAACTATCAAAAACTTTTATTAAAATCAAATCATTTATCAAAATCATTTTTTTATCTTAATATTTATCATAACATTTATGGAACATCAAAAAAATTCTTTTTTAATTTTAGACTGTAGATGTATTAATTTACTCTAGCAATAGTTACATATATATATATATATATATATATATATATATATATATATATATATATATATATATATATATATATATATATATATATATATATATATATATATATACTCACACGCACGCACAAATCTTTAACTGTTTATAGTCAAATATACTTTATACAAATATACCGGTCTTTAATTTTATAATAGCAAATAGTAAAGTATAAAAATTATGTAATGTAATTTTTTGAAGGTTGTATAAACATTTAATTACAGGTCAGGTTGGGAACATTATCCAAACTATGAATGCAAGCAGGATGGAATTTGAAAGACAAAGAGTAAGTAACTTTTATTACCAATTTAGTAAAATTAAGTGGGATAATGAGTTTAGTTATTTTGTAAATATTTTAATTATTTTAGGATAAAACAGTGCGTTATATGAAAAAACACAATGTGCCATTAGAACTTTGGAAACGAGTAAGACATTGGTATGACTACACCTATTCCAGGTATGATAGGATTGCTAATATGAAAGGTTTGAAATAAAAAAAATTTTATTTAAGAGTTCTTGCTATTTAATTGAGCCATTCCAAATCTCATTATATTTCAGAGATCGCTTTGATGGTGGCCAGGATATCAATGAAATAAAAATACTTCCAGATAAGATAAAAACTGAATTGGCCTTGCATGTCCATTTTGAAACCTTACGTAAAGTATGATTTTTTATTGCCTTGTGCGTGTATTATTATGTGTGTTTTAAATGCATGTATTAGTTGTTAAAATTTGGTTATAATTATTAAGGCCACTCGTTAAGTTTTTTTGGTTCGGTTTTTTTCAATTCGATTTTAAGCTTAAACCCATCGGTTCGGTTTGAAAAAAAAATTCGGTTCGATTCAGTTTGGTTTGGTTCGATTAAAAACAAAACATAGTTTCAGAGATGATTATTTATATACATTTTACAAATTTAAAATATAATCTTTTTAAAAACACCCAATTATAAATTAATTTTAATTTTTTTAATGTTTTCTTTTATGTAAACAATTTTCTCGACATTTTCAATCGCCAATGTAAATCTTCTGGCGGTTACAACATTACCGGCAATAGAAAAAACTCTCACTGATGTTGCTTAAGTTGTTGATATACATAGGTATTTTCGTGCATAATCAGATAGAATTAAGTACTGCAACTTCTAAAATATTTGTTTTTTCATCTGCTGTTTCGGCTCCTAAATAATGCTCAATTTCTAAACCCAACTTAGTTGTCATCAAAGCGCTGTGTGCTGAAGTATCTTGTTTTAGTCTTTTTTTAAGCCTTTCCTGGTGATTAACGTTAGTATTTTGATCACTTTCATTGTCTATTTTACTGCTTTTGATTTTCTTTTTTTTTTCTTTTTCCTGCGTCAATAGTGCTTCTTTTAATTCATCCATTTTTTTATACCCAATTAAATGCAGGCCTTTGTAATGCGGATCTAAAAAATTAGCAATTAATCAGCTGCTCAGCACCATTATGTAACAATTAATCAGCTGCTCAGCACCACTATGTAACAATCATAATCAGCTGTTCAGCACCATTGAGAGAATAACAATTAATCAGCAATAACAATTAATCAGCAATATCAATTAATCAGCAATAACAATTAATCAGTTGCTCAGCACTATCAGCAATAACATATCACTATCAGCAATATCACTATCGGCAATATCACTATCAGCAATATCACTATCAGCAATATCACTATCAGTAATAACAATTAATCAGTTGCTCAACACCATTGAGAGAATATCCTGGAGTTCACTTATCAGCATTTTTTTAAATATTCTTGTTGCTTTGTCTTTGTCATTTTGTTAGGCAAGTAGTTCTTGGTGCAAGAAATATAATTCAGTTATTACATCTTAGATTGTTGGTCTTTTATCAGCTGATAAACCTACTGAAATATTGTAAATTTTTCCTAGAAATGGTATGCTGCATTTTAATGTCTTCCATTGATCATCTGAAGGACATGGCCTTTCAAATTCTTCATTTGATTTTGCAAGTGTTTTGATTGCTTCTTTGACTTGGAGGACTAACTTTATGCACATGTACTCAGAATTCCATCGTGTTGTACACGAAACAATATATTTTCTGGCCTTAATTTCAAGTTTTTGCATTCACCTTGAAGCTTAGCAGTGGAAGATAACTTCTATGTGTGTGTGATGCTAAATCTGTGCAGTTTTTTATTGCTTTTGAAAGTTCAGTTGAATTTTTAATGGCTTTAAGAATAACTAGCTGGATTGTGTGATTGTTGCAGCACAACTCTGAGGTGATTTCATCACTTTCTTTAGCAGCTAAAATAATGTTGCTGCCATTGATATTAACACAGGCTCTATGCACTACTTCATTTAAGTTCAAATTTGCAATAAAAGAAATTAGGTTTACTGCAATTGCTACCCCGGTGTGTCTACCAGTAAATGGTTTGCAAGCAATAAGAAAACTTGATAAATTAAAATCTGAATTAATGTAGGGAATTGTAAGACTCATGAAGGAATCATTGTTTCGACTTGTCCAGAGATCTGTTGTAAAACTAACACCAGTCACATTTGGAAAATCTTTGACAAGTTCTAGTTGCAACCCTTCCTTAACCTTGTCATGCAACATTGGAAGTTTATGAGGTCTAAATGTTGATGGAGATTTGACAGTGAAATTATTATTTACTTCATCAATAAATTCTTATGCTCCTTTATTATCCAAAATTTCAAAAGGTAGACCTAGATTGCAGGCAAACTTTGTTAAATCTCAGTCATACTTTAATTGCTTTGGATCATTTAACCCATATTTTTGATTTTTTAATATACTACTTTCAATTGTTGTTGTTTTGGCGTCTTTTGCTTTATCAAGTTTTCGTTTATTAGGTTCATGTTTGGTTTTAACATGGCTGGTTATCGATGAAGTACTGCCACATTTTATTTTGTAAGATTTAAAGCAAATTTTACATTTAGCTTCAAACTTATTCAGTTTTTCAAAGAATTTCCCAATTTCACTTTTTTTCGGCATCTTTAATTTGAATAAAGTATAAATTGCTTGTATGTCAACTGGACTAAAAAAATTAAATAAAATTATATATATTTTTTTGTTTGGCCAGGTAGCAGATAGCTAAGTTGATAACAAGAAGTATAAAATTAAAAAAGATTAAAATTAGATTAAAGAAAAAGTAAAATTCACAAATGAATTTAATTGAAGGCTTATTCAAGTTTGAACAAGCAGTTTTGTTAATGGAAATGTTTACAATTGTTTGTATAAATGTCAAACTATTATAAAAAACAAAATATATTTTAAACAGTAAAACATATTTGTTTTATTATTTATTTAAATTAGAAAGCAACATTCTTATAACAAAAATATTATAAAATATATTTTAATTTTTAAAAATTTCAACGATTTAGAAAAAAGTTCAATTTACTCACATGTTACAGTACAATAATATCATAACTATATTCCTTCCTGGTCCGCAACATTTGCCATAGTTTTGCGGCACTATTCTGCACATTGCACATTATTTTGCACATTGCACATTTGCAAACTATTTTGGAGTTATGTTTATAGTCTCATTTTTTTAAATAATTTTTTTTTTCTGTGGTTTAATAATACTAAACTTTAATAAATAAAATATATTAAAAAAATCTATAACTAAGTTTTATGATTTTTAAAACTTTATGTCGGTTTTTCAGGTTTTTTCGGTTTCGGTTCGGTTTAATATTTAAAATATTTTGATTGGTTCGGTTGATTTTTAAAAATTTAAATCGGTTTTTCAGGTTTTTTCGGTTTTGGTTCGGTCAAAATATTTAAAATATTTTGATTGGTTCGGTTTGATTTGGTTTTTTAAATTCGGTTTTCACCGAATTTAAAAAACCGAATTAAAAGTTAACTTAACCGAAAAATTTTCAACGGTTCGGTTAGGTTGACTGCGCAGCCTTAATAATTATTCACTTGTTAATAATTGTGTTTTTATTTACTATTTAGTTTGTATGAAAATATAAAAAATAATATATATATTTTTTTATATTTCCAAACAAACTCAATAGTTATTATATATAATGAATATTCAATATAATAAATAAATTAAATATATAATGATTTAATATAATATTGCTATTATTATATATTAATATTATTATATATTAATATTATATTAATATTAATATATATTAATATTATATTTATATATATAATAATATTATATATTAATATATAGTATTAATATTAATATTGTTTTATATAATATTAATATTATATTTTGTAATTATTATATAATATTTATATTTATATTATTATTTATATAGTAATAATATTAGTATTATTTATTAATATTATATATTAATTATATATAAGGATATTATATTTATATTTATTATAATAAATATTATATATAATAAATATTCAATGTAATAAATAAATTTAATATATAATAATTTATCATAATAATAATATTATATCTTAACATTATTAATATTAATATTATTTATATAATATTAGTATTAATATTATTATATATTAATATTATATTTTATTATTATATATAATAATATTATTTAATATAATAATTTAATATGATATATATAACAAATATATTTATATAATATATTATATTTTATATAATATATTATATAAATATATTATTATATATAATAAATATTCTAATAGTATAATATGATATATTAAATTAAATTGTGGGATGTTATGGAATCACCAAAATTTTGTTTGCTATTTCTTGCATTTAATTTTATATTGTTAAAAAAGTAATTATTTATTACAATGTTTGAACCATCATGCATTACAAAACATTTTTTTTCAAATGGTGTAACAGGATTTTTTTTCCTTCAACCAAAATCTTTAAATACCTATCATTCTAAGTAACTACTTTAAAGCATTTTAGCAAAATTATGTCAATTTTTGGGATAAAGAAACTCTCTTTAAACAAGTCAGTAATATGTATTGATTGTAATGATTGCTTTTGAAAATAAATTATTCAATTAATTAATTTGAGTGGTTTCTTTTACTATAATCCATTTAAGTAACTTGAGAGATAAAGATTATTTTATTATAACCCATTTTATAAATTGGTTGCTGTTTGCTTTTTTAAAAACAATAAATTTAAAGTTAAAGTTAGTTTTTAACTTTTTTGCTTAAAATAGATTTTGATTTTAACTTATTAATAATATCAAAATGGGGTCTGGGATCTAACTAGCTTTATAGGTTTAGGTTTAAAAAACTCAAAAAGTTATTTTTGTACAATTGAAATGTTGGTATATCCATATGTTTAACCAAAAATTGCTTCTATCTCTTCAGCACAAGTTATAACCATTTATATTGATACTTAAAAATTCATCAAACCAAATATATTGGAATCATTTATTTTGTATTTAATTTTAAATTTATTTATTTTATTTTTAAGAGAGGTAGCATTGGTATATAAAAAAACTTAAATGATTTTTTTTCCCCTTTAATGAATTTCAAATTGGATTTTGAGTTTAATGATTTTGTTTACGTGACAACAAATAAATAGGTTGAGTTGCTCTCATTTTGTACTTTTTAAATAACATAAAAATTTTTTTTTTCAGCAAGTATCAAAAGGTTTTTTTTATCTTGTAATCCAACCAAAACAACTCTTATCTAACTTACTAGATTTAACTTTGTATATATATTATGATTAAGAGGTTTAAAAATTTTCAACTAAATGTTTATCTTAACTGATCTTTGAACTTACTGCAGACGATACAGCTAAACCAAACTTTTTTTTTTTCTTTTCGTTATATGCAAGTGTTAACAAAACTAGTTATTTACCTAAACGAGGGAAAGAAAAAAATTTCAAATTAAGTATAAATAGTAGAAAAATTATTGAGAGGAAAGAAAACAAGTAGAATAAATAATATAATAACAAATAGTATATTAGAACAATTTAGAAAATATCATGAAAGTTATTAAATTTTAAAAAGTTAAAATCAATAAAATCGCTCTGTTAGCAGCTGTTAGCAAATTCTTTTTCTCTTTTTTTCTTCTTCAGAAAATCTTTTATAATTAATTTTTTCTTTTGTTTATGATTTTTATTTATTTATTATAATTCTATTATTTTATTACCAAATGTTTTATTTGAAGGTAACATCTGTGTGATTGGTTGGCATAGTTTGTAATGGCATGGTCTGTTGCTAATCGCTTTGTTTATGTGTAATCGATTTGTTGGTGTGTTTGGCGCTGTGATCATGTATCAAATTTTATTGATGCATCTTTAAAAGATTTAATTTATTAGAACAATCAATTCATAAAATTGATGAGACATTAAGATAAATTATAATATGAAAATTGATAATTGATATACTTATAATAATTTACTATATTTATACTATAACTTATTTCAACTTATATGTTTATCCTATAACTTATTTTATCTTTTATATTGATACTATAACTTATTTCATCTTTTATATTTATATTATAACTTATTTCATCTTTTATAAATGTGTAAAAGTTGAACTAATGTTAAAGCTAAAAGATAAAATAAAATAAATAAATATAATGAAAAGAAAAGCTTTTAAATTTTGTAATTGGATTTATTTTCTTAAAAGATATAAAATTGTTGTAAATTATATACTTTTGTATGCTTTCTTTACATTAACTATTTTAGACCATAACCTATTATGTATACTTGCGCCAAATCATTATTTTAGGCAAAACTGTTTTCTTTTTCCTGTTAATGCTCTTTAGATTGTAGTTGTAAGAATCATTTGGTTTGTTTGTTTGTTTTTTTATCTGAAATTTTATACATTTTCTTAAATCAATCACTGCAAAGAAAATAAAAAATAAAAGGTCTTTGATTGCCATTTATGTATGGATAATAAAACATATCCTGAAAAATATAGCTTGAAATCATTTACAATTAAAGTTGAATTCAAATAATCAAAATAAATATAACATTTTTTTTTAACTTTCAATGGTTTTAATACTTTTAAATAGTTTTTTTAAAAGCACTGAATACTTTCAATGGTTTCAATACTTTTAAAATTAAATATTATTATTTTTTTTTTCTGAAGAAAAAACTTTACTCACTGAAACTCACAGATTACAAAAAGTTGAAAACAGCAGAAAGACTTTGTTTGCAAGAACAATTGAAAAATAAAATTAACATATACATGAATATGTCAAATATTCATGAATATATTGTCAAATTTGTCATGGATTATGGTCAGATAAATAGTGTATAGTAAATTAGTGATGCATCCTTTTGATTTAATGTAAAAAAACATGTTCCTGACCAATTGTAAGCCATGAGAGTTTTAAAATACCTTTGTAACACCAAAAACGCTAAAGAACCTAATTTTAGTGACTGAAGCTATTGAAAATTGAAAAGTTGCAAAAGTTATAGTTAGTGCAGTCTTCCAAGTTGGCATTTTGCAATGTTGATGAGAAACTGCCCTATTTTTGCTTTACAACAACATTCAAGAATTTCGATCTTCTGGTGAAACTCTCACTTATAATTCTTAAAATGTTGTTTTCAAAAATTGTTTGTTTTGTTTGATGTTGTGCACTTAAAAAATTTTTTTTGATTTCCTTTATAGTTTTCCTGGTATTTATTTGTTTTGAATTCAGAAATTCATTTCAAAGCAAGTTATTTTATTTACTGTAATTTACTGTATTTAATTTATGTAATCAAGTGGTACAGACTACTTGCTTACAGTTTTAATTTTTCCCAATTTAAAATTCCTTTTTAAGGCTAAATTTTTAAATGTCTAAATTGTGAATTGTGATTTTTTAATTAGAGACTGTGAACTGTGACTTTTTAATTAAATGAAATGAAAAAATTTGTGACCAATTATGAAAAATTAAACAAAAGTTGCAATTAGTTACGAACATTTATGAAAAACTACAAAAAACTTTAGTTAAATTTATAGATAAAAGGCTTAAATCACTTTGAAAAAGCCTTTTGAAAAATAAATTCAGCAAGATCTAGGCAACTGATTTTTTAAGATTCGCGATCTTTTTGACATGGATTAATCTTTAGATGGTTGGAAACTGACACGGAGATTTGTGGTCACACACCAACAATAATTAATATTTGTGATGCAACAATTTAATTACCAACAAAAAGATAAAACTAATCTTATTTAAACCAAGTTAAATATTAAAAGAAAACTGAAAATTGTCAAGAGTCATGAAGCATTGCAGCCAGGTGTTATTATTATTTTTAATCTAATTCACTTCCAACAAACCTGCAAGCGACCACTATTAAGTTGAGAATTACTAGAAAGCAAAGAATAAAGTTAAAGAGAAAGGAAAAGTTAATGAGAAAGACTTTAAAAGTTGTAGGTTTTATGAATTTGGAAAACATGAAATTTGGAGAAAGTTCCAAAAGATTGAAGTGTGAGGAAAAAATTAGACAAATAAAAGTTTTTAGAGCATGCAGGGACAGATACAGTAAAAGGATGAATAATAATTGATGAGTCAAGCAAGAATAAGAGGCCGGGTGAATAAAAATAAGCAATTGCTTTTACTAAATAATTGCCCAGCTTTACATAGTTAAAAATTTGAACTATTTTGCTATAATTTTTATTCATGTAAAGCTGAGCGATTACTCTGCATTTTTGGAGTAAATTGCTCAGCTTTATGTGAATAAAAATTGAGTGATTTTGCTCAAATTTTTGTTCAGGTAAAGCTGAGCAATTGCTCCAAAAAAACTGAGTAAAAGCAATTGATTTTTTCATTCACCCGGCCTAAGTTTGGATTGAATGAGCTAGAGATGCTCCTTTAAGCACCAACAATAAAAGTATTTGCAGAAAAGAGTAACAAGTGCAATCTTATGAAGATGGTAGAAAGGCTTGGCAGATAAAGCAAGTCCATCTATGTTTACAATGTGTTTTCAAATGTTTTCTAGAAAAGAAAGAGTATCATTAGAAGAACCAGCCCAAATATGACAACAGCATTCGGTACAGGGACAAATAGGAGATTTTTAGAGGTAGGGAGAATCGAGTCAGGAGTTTGCAATAAATCGCATATATGGTTTCCATGAGAGGTCAGTAGTGAATGATGCTCCAAGAAGATATTAAAAAAGGTGAGAGATTTACCAACAACAACTGGACCTTATTAACTGTGGATCCATACCCCAGTTTAATACTTTACTGTTTTGATACTTTAAAAGATTTGGATTGTGTTTTTGGGCCTTTTAAGGAAGACATACTGGTGCAATGACTTGCAAAGGAGTTAAGGATATTATAAAAACTCTTTTTGGACTTGGTCAAAGCTACTGCAATGATTATTGATGCAGCTGTCATCGTGAAGGGAGCTTTCTCAAAACATTGTACTTGTTGATGTTAATCTTTTGATTATTTTTTGGGGCAATCTTTCAACTGTTGGAGAATTTCAATACATTGGATATCTGATGTTAATTCTTAAAAACATTCAAAAAAATTCTAAAAAGTGGTCAGTAAGGTAAGCAATATGTGCAGATTTAATTGCATCATTTGTCCAATGGTCACAATGTATTCAATGATTAACAAGGTTTTAATGGACACTAAAATCTTGTGTCCATTGAAATCTTGAAATTTGAAATTTAAAAACTTAAATAAAAATTTTAATAAAAAAAAAGTAAGATAAATGTTGTAATATGTGTCACAAAACTTGTCATCATTTTGTAATTTCTATAGAAGAATTTTTTCAAGAACAGCAGTGGTTTAAACAGAAGCTTTTACCTGCCTTACAGAGATATAAGGTTTTGACCTAGTCAAATTATGACCAATACATATTCTGTAGGGCTGGCATAGACTTTTAGTGAATACTCAGGCTTATAGAAAACTTTAATTAGACCTTCTAACTGGAACACATTTGTTGTTCTTTTCAAGGCAGCAACAGCAGATTACCTTTGTAAAAGTATACAAGCTCGTTTAAAATGATGTCCTCCACTCTTCTTAGAGAGCAGAGGAGCCATAGTGTTTAATATATTGTATCTACAATGAAAGAAAAGTTAAAATGATTAAAAATATTTTTGACTAACTTAAAGCATTCTAATGATGTTTATGTATAAAAACAAAATTACAGACCTTAAAAAGTTGGTATATAAACAGTTATTTTTTTGACAAACTTCTTCTTTCTGTCATTAATTTTTTTCTATTGGTTTTAAATACAAAAAGAATGACTTTTTTCAGGTTTTTAATGTCAGTTTTCTAAAAATGTGTTACCTCACAGAATTTTATAAAAATAAGATTCTGGTTTTTGAAATTTTTGGCTATGTGTCCATGTTGTTTTTTGTAAATTAAATTGTTTTAAATTATTTTTATTATATACATATTAATATTTTTTTAAGGTTTCATTTTTTCAAAAATGTCAGCCAGAGTTTTTGCATGACTTAGTTCTGAAAATGAAGCTTCATATATTTACCCCGGGAGATTTGATTATAAGAAAAGGTGAAATAGCCAGAGAGATGTATGTCATCAGCGATGGAACTGCAGAAGTAGTTAGGTATATTTTTTTAAATTTTAATTTTATTAACACTTTTAGGTTTAACAAACTGATTTTTTAATTTTTTTAAATAGTATTTTAAAATGATTTTTTGTGATACATATGATATATTTTTTATTAATATAATTAAAAATCTGTTTTGTAGTGAGAGTGGACAAGTACTTAGGACTCTTAAACCTGGAGACTTTTTTGGAGAGATTGGTCTACTAAGTTTGAATGATGGAGACAACAGGTTTGTGTCTTTGATTCTAATATTGCCTGTTTTGCAATAGTTTTTTTTTAAAAGTTTGTTTTAGTTAATATATTTGTATTATAGAAGGACTGCAAATGTTCAATCTTGTGGTTACCTTGAACTTTTTGTTCTAAGCAAAGAGGATGTCATTTCTTCAATTAAAGACTATCCATTAGCACAAAATATTTTAGAACAGTATGGGCGTAAAAGATTAGCTTTTGGACGAAAATGCTGCAGAGCCTTAGCAAATAAAAGTATGACTTCAACAAAAGGGGAAAACATTGGAAGGAAGCACAAAGGATTAGGAAATAAGTCGAAGACAATTAATCAACAAGAAGAGGAGATCAAATATAGAAAAAAAGCAAATCAATTTTTTGAATCTTGTAGCCCTAACGAAATGAAAAAAGAAGTTTGTAAAGATTACAACAAAATGATACCTCGTGAAAACACACCGTTTAACAAAAATGATCAAAGTGTAGTATTCTATGTAAAAACTAAACCAAACTCATATAGAGTGATTTGCTTTGAAATAAAAAAATCAATTATTGATTGTGCAGATCTTAAGCACAGCACATTAGGAGACTTCTTAACTCTTCCCATCATGTCCAAAGAATTTTCCTCTAAAAGAAACTGTTTCAAAAAACAGAGAACTCTGAAAAAACGTTTTTACAAAAAACAAAATAGGCAAACTTTAAAATGTTGTCTGCAAGACTATTGCTTAAGAGAATGCTATAAAGAAAATTTAGCACTGAAAAATGTTCTGAAAAATGTCAAAAAAGTAAAAAACAATGAATATTTTGGCTTTGACCAGATGAATCACTATAATAAGCAATGCATTAATAAAAAAAATAACCAAACATCAAGTCATAAATATTTTGAAAAGGACAGTTCAAAATTTTCAAGTCACAGGCGTTTGAGTGAACTTACTGACATTACTGAGCCTTACTACAATATAAACAGTCATTTTCAAGAAAAAAGTCATGGAATTGGAATTGTCAATTCGATTTCAGATTTGCGTAAATTAAAATCAGACCCAGAAAATGTAAAGGTAATTTTATCAGTCTATATTTTAAAATATATTATTTTTATTTTGTTTTGTTATATATTTCTCAATCATTTCACGGTCTTTCATTTGTTTGGATGTACAACTTGTTATTTGTGTTCTCATGCAGTATTTTATACATCTTTGTTGACATGTATTTTAAACATTCATTTGTATCAAAAAACTTTGTTTAAAAAAAGATTATTACATTTGCAATAAATTTTTACAATTCAACTACAAACTGAGCATTTTGCAATAGTGTTACATTTCTATGTTACATTGTCTGATATTTTACATATCTATGATTACACACTAGCTCCCATATGTAAGTGAGTTTTTTTTTTTCTTTCAAAAGTGTATCAACCTGGGTCTCAAAAAAATTAGAATTTCATAGAAATTTCGAAAATAATAATGGTTTCAAATAAAAAGGAATTGCTTAAATTTTATATACAAAAAACAATTTTTAACTAAAAATTGAAAAGGTCTTTTTTTTAATATTTTGTTTGCAATATTATTTTTTTTTTTAATGTTTCATTAGGAAAGATTGTAAATTTTGAAATCACTATAAAATTTAGGTTCTTTTGAGATCCAGGTTGATATACTTTTGAAAAAAAAAAATTCACTGATGAATGGGAGCCAGTGTGTAAGTGTGTCAAGGGTCATGGTGGGTGAATCTTTTTAAAAATTAAATAAAACTAATGACTTTTCAGTTACTTTCAAAGTTCATCTGTTTTTTATATTGGAAACTGGAGATACCAAAAATTTACCAAAAAGTCACATCCCTAATGTTGCATATCTATGTTGCATTCTCTGATATGTTACATATCTATGTTGCATTGTCTGATATGTTGCATATCTATGCAATGACATGTGGTATTTTTTATAGATTTGTTTTTTATCATACTAAACCAAAAAACTGTGTTCAATTTTATCCTTACATTATTTCATTAAAAAATTTTGTTTAAAAAAACACAGCAGAATAACTATTTGAAAAGTGTGGAAATTTCTGAAAATAGCAAAAATCAACAAGACTCTTGTATGAAAGAAGCATCAGATCATCTTCCAAAAATTACAATAATTAAGACAAATGAAAAACAACAAAATAGCTCTATCATGTTGGAACTTAGCAATGACAACAAAAGTATGTTTCACACTGAAATCAACACAATAGACAAGCAATATGCTGGTAGGTTAACTTTTTATATTTAATTTTAACACAATATATTTTATACACTTCTACTTCTGAAATATTAAAAAGCGCTCTTTTTTTTCAGCCACAAATTTGAATTTCTCTCTGTGTAGATGAGATTTAATTTGGATAACACTTATGTGTCAGAAAAATACTGTAGGTGAAAGGTAAAATCTATTGCCATCTATTGCCATATAAAGTGAATGGCTTTTTGTAGATTCTGTGATGAAACTGCAGTGCACATATTGTATTATAATTATGCACAGTATGAGTCAAAGCAATTTATTTCTCTTAGAACTGTTATCTTAAACTGTGGTTTAAGATAAAAGTTCTAAGCCTGATATTAAGGTCAGAATCCAGAGGTCTTAGGTCTGATGCCTGCTCAAGCCCAATAAGTGACATTGATAAAAAAAGGAGGCATGAACTTCCTAATTAAATGCTTTTTTTGCAGAGCTCTGTGATAAGACCATAAGGATTTCTGGGAGCACCTTAATAGCTAAAACAACAACAACAACAACAAAAAGTCAACAACAAAATATTGAGTTCAATAAAATAGCAACTTTCAATTGTTATCATTGAATATTTTTTTTACCATTTATTATTATTTATTATGTCAACATCAAAATGCATTATTTAAAACTAATGTTGATTAATAAACTTTTTCTGGTTAATGCTTTTCTGATGTTGATGGATTCTTTAGAATTATTATGCAATATTCCTCATTTGTTTTTCATTGTTTTTATATTTGATGAATATATTGAGCTGAATTTTTTATATTGTTTTGCAAATAAGACTTCTACAGCTTGAGTATGTTCTGTGTTAATTCTTTAAATATAGCTTTCAATATTTTTAAATGTTTTTAAAGACTTAAGTGTGGTTTTTAATGTAAGTGTTTATTTTAAAAATGGACTTCATATTTTATGACTTTTAATAATCTGTACATATTATTGCTAAACTTAATAGTGTTAGTAGTAGTGTTAGTGCTCATTTGAGCGTGTTTGATGGCAGCCATTGCAACCGAGGTAGTAGCGAGAAAGGGTTGCAGCACTTTTTTTTATAAGAAAAAGTAATGAACATGTATGCAAATATCTAACTTACATAAACTTCAAATATCTAACTTACAAATATCTAACTTACATAAACTTCATGTAATGTTAAAAATTACTGAAACATTTATCAAGTTTTACAGTTTAATTTTCGCTTGAAAATTGCATTGCATCAAACTCTCCTTAATTTTGATCTATAACATTTATTTCCTTAAAAAAAATCATTATATAGTTTTAAAAATTTTTGTTTAACAACATGCCAGCATGGCCAAGCAGATAGCATGCTGAGCTCCTAAACAAGTAAGCCGTGGTTCGAGTCCTACCACTGGAAATTTTTTTTTGTAAATTTTTTTCGATTATTTTAAAATACAAATTACTTTTGAAGTTTTATAGAGATTATATACAAACACATATAACGATATTATACACTTTAGCAAATAAAAAGATTTTTAAAAAAGCTTGAATTTCTAAAAACATCAAAACACCAGGAGAAAAAATTTGTTGCATATGTGTCATGATTGAGATACTTTTGTTATTAATGTGTTCAGGAAATTAATTCTAATAAGCTGCAGATAGTCCGAAAAAAAAGTTGTCTGAAACTTAATAAAGAAACAACTTAATAAGACAGTCCTGCTACTCCAGAAGGTGTTGTTGTGAAGGCAAAAAAATAAATAAAAGCCTGTAGCTAGAAAAAAATTTAAATCTTTTTTTTGATAATTAAAAGTTTTTTTTGCTACATTTATTTTTTTACTATAAATATATGCTGCAGCCGTTTTTCAAAACGCCTTAATATGCTTATTACATATTTTGAGAAAAATGCAATTTAAAAAAAAATTGTTTGGAGAAACTTTTTGTAAAACATTTTTTGAAACAAATAATTTTTATGAATTTTTTCAGAACTCTTTGAAAATATGTATTCAATAATGTTTGTAGACATCTAAACTAGCTTATTTTGTAAAAAAGTCAAAATTGATTTTTTTTACCTAAAGGTATGGATGATATAACGAATATGTTGAAATGAGATAATTTAAGGAAAAATTTAAAAGCTTTTAACAAAAGCCACTAAACCAAAAAAAAAGTAATTACAGTTCAGTGCACTTTTAAGTATAGTATACTGGTGTTTGCAAAGAAACATACAAATCTTTTTTTAATATAAAACTAATTTCTTTTAAACTTTGTCGTATAGGCAGGTTAGGCGCTTAACCATCCTTATATAAACAGTATATATAAACAAGTGTTATTTGTTTATGTATATTGTTTATAAAATGTAAAAAATCCATTTATGTAACATTTTATTCAGGATTTTACCTAATATAAGTAAACTTTTTCTAATAAAAGTCTTTTTTGCTCAAGCTGTTTTGTTTTGATTTTTTGTATATGTTATTATATTTAAAAATTGACAAGATTGAAAAAACACTAAACATATTGTCTCATCCAAGTGGAAAATTTGAAGCTTCAATTTTAGATTTGTCATTAGTATCTGTACCAGTTTTATATATTTTTATGCATTTGTATACAACATAATTAAAATTAGTCAAAAAATGTAAAATAATTGCAAAAAGAAACTTGGTGCATAAAGGTTTATTTTGCTACAAACTGATGTAAATGCGCAAAAATTTTTTAGCTTAACTTTTAAATTAGCGTTTAATATTATTCTTTAGTTTTTAATCATACTCATAAGAATGAACTTTTTTTTTATGACCGACCATAAGTTGTTTGAAACCGGAAAATAATTGCCGACCTCATTTCTATGTTTTAAGGTGAGACCTTTGTATCAAATTTTTTTGCTAACCTGATGCTGATCTCTAAAAGATTGAGGTCGGCAAATTATTGCCGACCTCATTTTTCCTAATTCCGAGGGTTGCGTATGATATATCTATAAAATAAGAGAACTTTAAAATATTATTTTAAATTTTAGAAATCTTTTATGCTATATTATTAATATTTTTTTGCTATAAATATATAAGCAAGATTGAAAAAATTTCAAAATTTATTACACTAAGAGGAGGTCTTTAATCCCCCAAAACAACTCTGATGATATTGCACTTAACCACCTAGCTATCAATGAAATGCATTTAGCAAAAAAACAAACCTAATTATAAGTCTCTTATAAGCTCTATGGATTCGGAAAAGGTGCGCATGTTAATTTTTTTGCTCTTGAATGTTTTTTTTCAGAACAAAATTATTTTACTAAAAAGTATTGAAGTAAATAAGGAATAGGTTTAGAAATAATCGGTGTGCAATAGATATGTATAGAAATGGTAGGTTTGGTAAAGACCCATATTTTATGTATCCAGAAAGCTAGGATATATAAGGAAAAAGTATAAAAAAGTTTTGTTTGGAATAGATTTACAAAGACCCATATTTTTATGGGTCTGATCTCAGCTATAAATAAATTAGATAAAAATGATTAAAAAAATTTTAACATTAATTTTTCTTAAAAGAAGTACAATAAAGTCCTATTGTTCCTATCTTTTTTTTTCTAATTCACTCCCAACAAAGCTGCAAGCAACCACTATTAAATTGGGAGTTACTTGAAAACAAAGAATAGAGTTTAAAAGAAAATGGTTGGCAGAAGACCTCAAAAGTTATAAGTCAGAAAAATGAAGATAGAAGAGAGTTACAAAAGAATAAAGTGTGGTGAAAAAAACTAGTTGAATAAATATTTTTAGAGCACGCAGGTACAGATACAGTAAAAAGATGTGACTTTGCTGAAAGATGAGTCAAAGAGAGAGAAGTCAAAGTCTCAAACAAGAATGAGTTTTGGTTGGTGGAACTAGAGATGATAACTTCTTTAAGCAGCAACCATGATAGTATTTGCAAAAAAGAGAAATAGATGCAACTTTACACCTCCATCTAATGCATGATAGATTCTAACAATTACAGCAGTCAGCAAATCAGCTGTAGAACGAGAAGATTGAAAATCGAGTTTTTGGTGCTTTAGTCATTTTAAATTTGTTAAAGAACTTGACTCAAAGCATAGACAGTACTCAGTATACTGTTTAATACCCCAAGCAATTGCCTCATTACTGTTAAAAAACACTAAGTCATATCAAAGGGTTCCAAATGTGGCCTCAACAATGCACACCTAAAGTACAAACAGGGACACTATAATTTCGACCTTTTCGCTTATCTTTCTGTATTATTCCTAAGTGAACTTTAAAACATGTTAACTTTAAATTTATTTTCAATTTTCATTCATTTTTGTAAAAAGTAAAATGGTATTCTTCAAATAAAAAAAAATAATTACAACTTTTCATTCAACCCTCCATTATTTTTATCATTGAATTTTTGTTTTACATTTGTGAATTTTGACCAGTACTTTATATATATATATATATATATATATATATATATATATATATATATATATATATATATATATATATATATATATATATATATATATATATATATATATATATATATATATATATATATATATATATATATATATATATATATATATATATATGTATATATATATATATATATGTTCGTTTTTGTTGATTCGTTTTTGTTGATATTTTTACATATATTGTATTCCATTTATATTTAGCAGTCCACTTCAAAATAAGCATCAAAATCCTTGTCCTTTATACCAACAGCTTCTTTTTCTGTATGAATTGAAACAAAACCAAATTCAATTTTTTGATTGTATAAGAGCACTCCTCCACAGCAATTAATTTCATCCAAACCAATAATAGTATCAATACCGTTGACAACACGTTTTAGAATCATTACTGATGTTTTGAGTTTTTTTCCTTCGATTATCAATGTTACTTTAGTTTATCTCTACATTTTCACAAATTCTGCATTGACAACTAGTACCATTAGTTCATTTCTTCTAATAAAAACACCAGCTCTCTGAGCCATGTTGTTTAAAACAATAGTTTGAACACATCCGCTATCAACCAGTGCTTTTCCTGCAATGGTATTCACCTCCACAGTTCATATTGGAAGCGCCGTTAGTTTTTTTTTGCATTATGTCATTTTTGTAACATATTAAATTATTTATTTGTAATATATTAAAGATCCAAGAAGACTAAATTTAAAATTTTAGAACTGTTAAAACTAAAAAATTCAAAAGTTTTAGAACTGTAGAACAAGTGTAATAAAATTATTGATGTTGATGCTTTTTTCCAATTTTTGTGAAAAACAAGAAATTTTTTGAATTTTATTCTTTAAAAATTTTTTGTTGTTCTACCAATCCAATAAGAACTCTTTATCTCCTGAAATATTTTAATTAATGGTCTACTAGAAAGTTTCGTACAATGTAAGGTTCTAATAATTTTTAATATTACGTTTGAAAACTACGTAAATTTTTTTCTCTTTAATTTTCATTTATTTAATTTAAAAAGAAATTTAAAATCCTATAATATAATTATTTTAGGTATTACTTATACATACACCTAATCATGTCTGATATCAGACTAAAGAGTGATTTCATCAGAAATGAAATCATAGATGAGTTTGAAGGCAAAAGATGAATGTTGCACATTGATGCTAAAGTTGTGAGGCGAAATTGTGAGCAGGAGGACATCTCTTTTATTAGCGATAGACTACCATTAAGTTTATTCACTCCAGATGCTCCGGATTTAAAAGACATTCCTTTAGGTGTTCACATAAATAAAAATTTAAAGGAGAAGTTCAGGCAGAAGAAATTTTTTCAAGTTCAAATAAGATTTTTAACATTTTTTAATACTATGGTTGTGTAGATCATGTTTTTGCAGTTATTTTCAGATACAAACAGTTGCAAAACTGGTAAATACCACAGAGCAATAGCATCTCTTTATTATTTTCCAATATTATTAACTCTATCATCTTTAAGCTCTTTATAGGCAATACATATATGAATTCTACATTTCATATTTCTTAGAGGTTTTGTTTGCCGGTACTAAGGCTTCACAAAAATCACTTTATGTTAAATTTAAAAAGATCTGATCAGAAATCTTTATTAAGGTAAATAGGCTTGATAATGTATCTATCTTTGATTGGAACACTCTAGCTTCTAATTTAATTTTTATGTAAAAAGCCAAAAAGCTCTAACTTACTAAACTTTTGTATGTCATTATGAAGCTAGAGATGGTTATCGCAAGTTATTCAAGCATGAAGTATATTCTACCTTGGCAGAGTTATTCAGAATTTTAGATTCCTGCAGCCTGGTGTAATGCATGAGACAAGATTCATGGCTAATTCAATATATATTTTAGTAATTCAGATGATCCAAGTTACACATAAGATATTAACAGTGGACTACGAGGAAAAGTGTAATGATGCCAGTTTCTTCATAACTGTTGCGTATGTTCCATGGTTCCTAAAAATTAGAATAGCAGCCTCTGCTCCATGATGCAACAGGGCGACGTTAAAAAATTCTTACAAGCTAAAGAATATGTTTACTCTAGGAAGTATAAAGATGTTGGAAATGCTCTGATAAAAAGCTGTTGAATGTCGACATGGCATTTAGATGAACAAGTGGTTGTTCTTGCACTCATAATGTGATAAATTGCACTGATAAAATGATAAAAATTTGCTCATCATTGTTAAGCCAGAGATCTTTAGACGCAGTTCGCCCACAAAAATTCCTAATATAGACAGTAATCTGGCACTTTCTAACCTTGTTGGTCCGAAAAGCTAAATCCTGCTCAACATTATTGGTGTTTCTGATGAATATGTTATTCAATGGATTAATGGAGATTTTGGCTGTTGGGATAATTTAGAGAGCTACATAAAGTACGTTCCATTCATTAAAAACATGTAAGTAACAAATGACTCTGCCAATACTCGCTTCATTCAAGATTTCTTTGCAATTAAATCTGAAGACAAAAGGTAAAATGCAATACTTGTAGCTAGAGAGGAGAAAAATAAAATGGCCGCTAATTTTACCATAAAAAGGGTAGTTGTAATGAAAAAAATATTTTACCATAAAAAGGGTAGTTGTAATGAAAAAAATATTTTACCATAAAAAGTTGTAATGAAAAAATCAAAAAATAAAAATCTGAAAAAATTAAACAAAATAAGTACAAAATAAGAATTGGAGAAAATGACATTGTGTAACTCTGCAATAATGATTTGTAATTGTCATTATTTAAATAAAATCATTTTTAGCTAAAAAATATTTTTTTTAGGCTAATACGTTTTCAAAACTTTTTATCTTTTAGTATAAAGTTTACTTAATAAGTAATATTTTCCATAAAAAACATAAAAATAAAAAAATTGAATTCAATATAGTCCTGTTACACATGACCTTATGAGCTAAAACTTTAAACATCATCAATTTGATATAAACATAAGTTGCAAAGTATAGTGTTCCTGCAATTTGACTTTTGTCACAAAATGACACAGCATAATATATACATACGTATATATATATATATATATATGTATGTATGTATGTATGTATGTATGTATGTATGTATGTATGTATGTATGTATGTATGTATGTATGTATGTATGTAATCACCATTTGTAACCCATAAACTTGATTAAATTATTTTATTTTAATTTTTCAGTTCAAATGAAAAAACAAAAAAAGAAGAGTAAAATTTTTTGTAAAGCTATAACCCCACCCTCGGCATGCATTTATATTATGTTTTGATTAAAATTTTTTATAATGATTTGTTTTTTTTAGATTTAACACCTTTTGAATGAATGAATGCTTTTCTCCAATCAACTTACCAATTTTACAAAGAAGTCTACTACGCCGTCTCGCATTAATAAAAAATCAATATGTTCAAAAAAGAATATCGAATTCAATTTTGAAACTTTTTGATTCAACTAAAAGAGTATTACATTTTAGAAAGAGAAAACTTAAGTTATCAATTTAAATACGTCTAAAAACTTAAATATTTGACAAAGATTTGTAATCTTCACCTAATAAAAGAAATTTATTTCTTCTTCAATAACCAAAGTTATTTGTAATATTTATTAGAATAAATATTTTTACAATTAAATAGACATTTTATTTTTACATCTATATAAAATTATTTTAAATAACTTTTATTTATTATTGCAGCTGCTTTAAAAAGCAAATCTAAATATTTGCATTTCAATGTCAGATTGTTTGATGAAAGATTTGAGTCGTTAAGTATTTCAGTTATTTCGAACATCAATTATCTATTTCATTAATTATTTGTTAAATAACATCTATTTCGAACCGAAACAAAGTTTATTAATGTTATCAAGACTGTTTTTCGTCAGAAAAAAAATCTATAACCACACCAATTAAAGTTATTTTTATATTGGTTTTAAACTCTAAAAAACCTTCAAACATCCCATTACTGTTGCTTCATCGTGTAACATTTTATCATCTTTTTCTTTCCTAACTTTTCAACAACAATTGTTTAAAGGTCATTATTTCTCACTGGTGACTCTTTTTAACAATGTAACAAAAGAATTTTGTCTTGATAATCGAGTTTGGTTGAATCTATAAACAACGAGAACAGTTTCAAAATCATCTCTAAGTTTATTACCAACTTTATAATAATTGCCGGAATGATGAGACTGCGGCCTCGTTACTCGATCAACTATCTGAATCTGTTTGTGTATAAAAATCTGTTTTTATACACAAACTTGTTCTTGAAGTTTTAATTTTAAGATGGATCCATCTTAAAATTCAGATTCAGATAGTTGATCGAGTAACGAGGCCGCAGTCTCATCATTCCGGCAATTATAAAGTTGGTAATAAACTTAGAGATGATTTTGAAACTGTTCTCGTTGTTAACCATATATATGGTTAACAACGAGAACAGTTTCAAAATCTGTTCAAAAAACTGTTCTCGTCGTCAAAATCTTTTCAAAAAACTGTTCTCGTTGTTAACCATATATATGGTTAACAACGAGAACAGTTTCAAAATCATCTCTAAGTTTATTACCAACTTTATAATAATTGCCGGAATGATGAGACTGCGGCCTCGTTACTCGATCAACTATCTGAATCTGAATTTTAAGATGGATCCATCTTAAAATTAAAACTTCAAGAACAAGTTTGTGTATAAAAACAGATTTTTATACACAAACAGATTCAGATAGTTGATCGAGTAACGAGGCCGCAGTCTCATCATTCCGGCAATTATTATAAAGTTGGTAATAAACTTAGAGATGATTTTGAAACTGTTCTCGTTGTTTATAGATTCAACCAAACTCGATTATCAAGACAAAATTCTTTTGTTTGTATCAAGACAAAATTCTTTTGTTCTGAGCGTACGCTCAGAACACACAACACACTTTCTCACCTTAGAGGCTTGAAGCTTCCTATCAGCTTTGCTGTGCAATTCAAAGCGTTTTAAAACAAGATGCAGCTTCTGCTCCTGATTTCTTACTGAATGCAACTGTCTTAATTCCTTATTTACGCTATAATGCAAACACTCTCCCTCCTCTTCACTTAGCAACCCAATAGTTTCACGGAATTTTACAAATAGTGGCACATTAAAAATAAGTTCATGCATTTTTCGTGCGATACTTTCATTTGGAAAGCAAGCATGAAACTCAATAGCAAAAAAATTTATATATTGATGAAGCTCAGTAATTTCATCATCGGAAAGAAATTTTGGCCAAAAAAGAATAGGTTGCAACTTATTAAAAACACTTAACACACGTACAAATCTATTTTTAATTGCTTCATCATCAATAACACTACAAAGTTTATAGTGGTTTCTTAATACTATTTTGCAATGACTACCTACAAATACATTACCATGGTAAGCTTGTCGCTCAACCTTCATATCTTTAAGTATAAAAGAAATTTTTTTGGAGGAATTGGAGGAGTTTAGAGAAAATTTAGAAATATTTTTATTAAAAGCTAACCAACGCGCCTGTAGATTTCCTAATAAACGTAAAGCTTCTGCTGTTTTAGAACATTCAACGCTTTTAGCAGTCCACATTCGTTCTCACATTCTCATTATGCGACAAAGACGAAACAGCTTGACAATCTAAAGTCTTACACTCCTTCAACAATAACTTATACAGTTTTATACAGCTGAACCCTGGTGTCCCAGAACATTATCGATAAAATGAAAATCTATACCTAAGAACAACCTGACTATTTTGCCTTTTAGCTTAAAATCTGACGACTGAATTCTTTTAATGTTGTTGGCAAAATGCCTGAAAACTATTCTCACGACAGTCTGAACCCTGATACATACAAAACAAGTGAACATCGTATACAGACCCTGAAGATTTAGAATTGACAACTTCAAAATAGAATTTCATATACTTCCCACCCTTATCACTAGCAAAAAGGAGCCAAACTTCATCGCCAAAACCGACATCTGAATTAAGGTGGTCGCGTACATAAAGATTATTAAAAACCTCTTCAATATAAGTTGTCAAATTCTTGACCATCAGTACAGATAATGCTTCATTCGCAGATGGATAAATTAACATGGACTTAACAGTAACATGTTCTTTATTGACATGCATTGTCTGCATTTCTTGTTCTTGTCTTATCTTGGGCTCAGATGGAAGAATCCTTGCACCAAAATTACACAGAATACGTCTTAGTCTAAGGAATTCAGCCGTGGGCATCCTTAATTGGCTATGTAGCTCTACAGCACCAGAAACACTTAACTGCTTAACTAAACCCAACTTATTTGCAACACAACAAAATATTGACTTTTCACAAGACATAGAATCACAAAACAACATAGACAAATCACTTTCTAAATCAAGTTAATAATCGAAGGAATATAAAAGCAAGTTTAGATCGTCTAGCTGCAGCATGCCTACCTAACTTAGAATAAGGTTTACCATTTCTTAACTTAACGTAAGTATATTTTTTACTATTGGTTTTTTAACTGATAAACTCTGTGGATTACTTAATTTAAACCCACAAAATAATTCAGAGGAACCAATGTTGTCGTAGTCTAAATAAGAATCAACCACAACTAAATCCTTATCGCTACTAGCAAAACATTTGCAAATTTGGCAACTGTTCTGGCTTAAATCACTAATTTTTGCAATTTTTTTTTCAATATTAATTTTTTTTAGCAATCTTACATTTTTGGCACGAGCAGATGCAAATTTACGCTGAGCTGTTTTAATTTTTTTTTTTTTTTAAGTTGGAACTGCTCCTCCTGTTTTAGTCTAATACTCATAGTCTCTAATTGAGAACTTAATGAGTTACAATGTGTTTTGAGAGCCCTATTTTTAGAATTTAAATCTGTAATTTCAGCTTCCAACTTAAATACTTGCATTTAAAATTTTTCTATTTGCTCCATATTTGTTTTATTTTCAGAAGTTAATTGATCAATTTGATTCAGTAGCTCCTGACTGTTATTTAAAGTGAAAAAGTCATCTGCATCTGCTGATTTTTTTTTTTGGGTGGAGCTTGTGACAGTTGCATTTTAAAAAATTCTTCGTTTTTTATAGCTTTAAAAATTTTTTTATATTTTTTTTTTTGGCGTGTTAACTTTAGGCACATTTTATCAAACTCGTCATTACTAGGCATATCAAAATCAATTGGCAAAAGAAAACTCATAAAACTAAATAAATCACTTCTTATTTTAAAGACTGTCATTAAAATGGAAATGACATTGTTACTGATCTTATCTGTCCTAATTAATTGCTTAACAAAAGGAAAGTTACACCTATCTTCCCAACCATTTTTCCATCCAATATGTTGTTTTAGAATTTCCCTCTCAGTTGAATACATAGTTATCAAAATAATATTGACTTATTAATCAATATAATAAAAACAAATAAAATAATATTAATTAACAAATATAGATAAAAGTGGACTTAACAACTTATCTGATATTAGTTTGATAATCCAAAGAGAAAAATTCCGCCTAATTTTGTTTACTTTATACTTCAAAAATTGACTCCCCGAACAGTTGTTTGGAGAATATTCGTTAATAAATAGTTTGGGACGTAACGCATAAAGGTTACGTCATCGCAAAAAAACGTCAACACAAATGTACGCCTAAAACTAACAAGATTAGTTGTAAAACATGACATTTTTGAAAACATATTTCATAACATAGCTAAAGGTACGTAAAATAATTGTTTTATTTTCATTTGCATAAAAGGTTGAAATTTTATTAACTTACGTCATCCATCAAAAAAATTACGTTTTGCATTTAAAAACGATTAATTAAAAAATATAAATGCTTTAAAAACAGTCTTTTTGTAAAAAAATCTTTAGGATGACGCAGGAATCTGATAGAATGGACATTTAGGGTTAAGTGTTCCAAATTTCAGCTATCAAGTACAGAGCTATGTTAGGAAATCTTAGTTGGCCCAACTCATGTTTTCCGGAAAATATGCGAAAATTAGAAAAGTGGTTCTAAATTATTAAAAATATTTTAATAATATTTATTTTTATATCAATTAATGTAAATATTTATTTAACAAGGAAAGATAGATCTTTTATATTTTTTTAATTGCAAGATGAAAGCATTTATATAAAAAAGTTACTATTAATTTAAAGTTTGTGAATTTTTATACTTTTTATGCGGAAATACTTTTTTTTTTGATAAACTCATGACGTCACGCTCGTTTTTATATTGAGTGAAACAGCCGTGATATGGTTAAAAAGCAAAAAAACAATTTTTTTTTTATTCCTGTTTTTATTAGAAAAACTAACTATATAAACTAATCCATATCTTTTAGAAGAAAGCAGGGCCAACGATACCGGGGGGTGGGGCCAGATTCAGAAAAATCTAGATTTAGGGAACTTTTTTTTAGAAATTGACGATTGTGCCTCACTTCGAAACCCGTGTCGCCGGTCTTGGAAAGGGATTTTTATTTATTGTTTACATTGAAAACCTGTTTAAACAATAAAACTGTCATCTTTTGTTAATAATTGGTTGTCAGTTTCTTCTATGAAAATCTAAATAGTCGATATTTGTGTCATTATATGCTATGTTGTAAAATATTCAGTATTGATGTGTTTCTATGTTGTAAAATATTCAGTAT